AGTTTATTTTTTCCCTTCATGTCCCTTTAGGGGCTCCGTAGGATTGCATACTGACCTTGTCTCTCTTCATTTATGTAATATCATGTTTTGGGACTTCTCTATAAATTAAGAACCGCACCAAATCGTCCTCCATGGTTGTAGCTGACACATGGGCGTATTATCCTCCCATAAACGTACACTTTGAACCTCCACTGTTGTGTGTTTGTTTTACTTCCAGTTCGCTGACATGGCAAAACGTTTTGTGAGATCTCGCAAAAGTATTGCGGGATCTCGCAAAGTTTATTTTTTCTTCCATGTCCCTTTAGGGCCTCAGTATATTCACCACTGTTCAGCTCCATTTCTCTTTTTCCTCTGATCACGAAGCAGCCGGCTTGCTTGGACTCGCAATGAATCCTGGGATACCCAAGGCCACAGAGGATACAGCGGACCTGTCCTCTGCCCCTCGCTTGGCCTCTATCACCTGCAGGAACAGCTCTGCTCCTCCCTCCATCCAGGCTCCTTTTATTTTGGCTTCAATCAGCCTCTGCTGACACCTGTAGTCTGTAATCTTTTTGATTCTTCTGTCCTTTTTGGTATTTCTCTGCTTTTTGTTTAATAAATTCCTTTTTTTTAAAGAACCTCTGGCTGAATTCTGGGTCCGAAATTTTTTACATTTCTTTGTACAAGACGTGATTTTTCTTTGAAGGGAGTCTTCATTTGTCTGTGTGCCATAGATTTTTGTATTTTGTTTTATTTAGAGAGAATTCAACTGATTTTAATTTTTACTATTTGAAAGCAGTAAGTGATAGAGCGGCACAGTAATGCATTTTCGGTTTATAACGCATGCACTTTTAATTATGTATTTACAGTGTATTTGGTCTTGGTTCAATAGGCTATTTTAAATTCAATATGTTTTGATAAACATTTAACCAGTCCGGCCCTCGGCTTGTAGCAAATTAGTTTTTGTTTGGCCCTCAGTGTGTTTGACTTTGTCATCCCTGCTTTAAAGCATCTGGAGGTCCATCATCGTCTGCACGTTCCAAGCCAGATGTAAATCAAAGACCCAGCCGCTGCTCTCCTGGATCGTTGGAGTCCATGTTTTGTTTGAGTTTTGCTTTTGGCCATTTGAGTTCCAGGACGGAGGTATATAAGATCAGGGCCTGAATCCGGGGGCCTCCCACTCTGTTTAGTGATGGATTTTGTCAGACAGGATATTGTCTCTGAATTTCACGGATGGCTTCGCTTCCTGTGAAGCGACCTGGTTCTAGCCCAGAAAAATGTGTCCTGCCTTTTTCAGGTATAATTTCAGTGCAACAGAGGTAAGAATAAATGGGTTTTGTTGTTTCTAAAATGTCTATATTTATTATTTTTGGTGTGATGATGTCAGGATTTGGTTATTGAGTGTTGACCCAAATTAAAGCAGAGGCAGGAAGGCAGAGGTGAATTTCTTTAGATTTAATTAAAAAAGGAAACTGAAAACAAAGGCAGGTTATCCAAAAATCCAA